CAGCTCTACCACCCTGGTGCCCCGAGTCCAGCTCTACCACCCTGGTTGCCAAAGTCAGCTCTACCACCCCGGTGCCCGAGTCCAGCTCCACCACCCCAGTTGCCAAAGTCAGCTCTACCAACCCAGTGCACGAGTCCAGCTCCACCACCCCGGTAGCCAAAGTCAGCTCTACCACCCCGGTGCCCCGAGTCCAGCTCTACCACCCCGGTGCCCGAGTCCAGCTCCACCACCCTGGTTGCCAAACTCAGCTCTACCATCCCGGTTGCCAAAGTCAGCTCTACCAACCTAGTGCACGAGTCCAGCTCTACCACCCCAGTAGCCGAAGTCAGCTCTACCACCCCGGTGCCCGAGTCCAGCTCTACCACCCCAGTTGCCCAAGTCCAGCTCTACAACCCCAGTGTTGCCCAAGTCCAGCTCTACCACCCTAGTGCCCCGAGTCCAGCTCTACCACCCCAGTTGCCAAAGTCAGCTCTACCAACCCAGTGTTGCCAAAGTCCAGCTCTACCACCCCAGTTGCCCAAGTCCAGCTCTACCACCCCAGTTGCCAAAGTCAGCTCTACCACCCCAGTGCCCCGAGTCCAGCTCTACCACCCCAGTTGCCAAAGTCAGCTCTACCACCCCGGTGCCCGAGTCCAGCTCTACCACCCCAGTTGCCCAAGTCCAGCTCTACCACCCCAGTGTTGCCCAAGTCCAGCTTTACCACCCCAGTGTTGCCCAAGTCCAGCTCTACCACCCCAGTTGCCAAAGTCAGCTCTACCACCCCGGTGCCCGAGTCCAGCTCTACCACCCCAGTTGCCGAGTCCAGCTCTACCACCCCAGTGTTGCCCCGAGTCCAGCTATACCACCCCAGTTGCCCAAGTCCAGCTCTACCACCCCGGTTGCCCAAGTCCAGCTCTACCACCCCGGTTGCCAAAGTCAGCTCTACCACCCCAGTGCCCCGAGTCCAGCTCTACCACCCCAGTTGCCAAAGTCAGCTCTACCACCCCGGTGCCCGAGTCCAGCTCTACCACTCCAGTTGCCCGAGTCCAGCTCTACCACCCCGGTGTTGCCCAAGTCCAGCACTACCACCCCGGTGTTGCCCAAGTCCAGCTCTACCACCCCAGTGTTGCCCAAGTCCAGCACTACCAACCCAGTGCACGAGTCCAGCTCTACCACCCCAGTTGCCCGAGTCCAGCTCTACCACCCCGGTGCCCAAGTCCAGCTCTACCACCCCAGTGTTGCCCAAGTCTAGCTCTACAAACCCAGTTGCCAAAGTCAGCTCTACCACCCCGGTGCCCGAGTCCAGCTCTACCACCCCAGTGTTGCCCAAGTCCAGCTCTACCACCCCGGTGCCCAAGTCCAGCTCTACCACCCTGGTTGCCCGAGTCCAGCTATTCTGGTCTTCAAGTTATTAAGCCAAAGCAACTATTACTGTTTCAAACCTTTCCAACCATAAATAACAAACACAACACTTTTCCATTTGATCCTTGGCAAACATCCTCCTCAAAAAGCTGATTAGTGAGTTTAATTTTACCTGCTTTCATCTGGCAATCACTGTACATCAAGAGCAGTTTCCAAGGACGTTCAAGACCTTCACAGCGACTACAGGAGTGTTGTTTTCTGATTAACACCTGGGGCAGGTGAAGCGAGGTACACAGTCCACACAGAATATTTTATTACAGTTGTCTACCTACAAGGTTAACATTTTCTGGCAACCAATGAAATGTATAGACCGTGGTAGTTTGAGTTGTTTAACACCACGCTCAGCAGTATTTCTGCAGTATGACAGGCCACTGTAAATAACAACAGTTTGGACCAGACGACCCAGTGATTGATGTCATGAGCAGTGATTGTTCTGGGAGTATGTTTGCATACAATCATCAAGTCCTCGAGTCTGACCAACAGTCTGTCACCTGCTGTCACAGCAAAGGGGCCAGTGTGCCGTTGTACAAAGCGATCTTAGTGCTAAGGTGACCGTAACTGCCATACCTTAACATGGACTTAAGGTAGTCTTAGCACTAAGGTGACCGTAACTCCCATACCTTAACATAGACTTAAGGTAGTCTTAGCACTAAGGTGACCGTAACTCCCATACCTTAACATAAACTTTAGGTAATCTTAGTGATAAGGTGACCGTAACTCCCATACCTTAACATAGACTTAAGGTAATCTTAGTGCTAAGGTGACCGTAACTCCCATACCTTAACATAGACTTAAGGTAATCTTAGTGCTAAGGTGACCGTAACTCCCATACCTTAACATAGACTTAAGGTAATCTTAGTGCTAAGGTGACCGTAACTCCCATACCTTAACATAGACTTAAGGTAATCTTAGTGCTAAGGTGACCGTGAACTCCCATACCTTAACATAACATAGGACTGCTAAGGTAATCTTAGTGCTAAGGTGACCGTAACTCCCATACCTTAACATAGACTTAAGGTAATCTTAGTGCTAAGGTGACCGTAACTCCCATACCTTAACATAGACTTAAGGTAGTCTTAGCACTCAGGTGACCGTAACTCCCATACCTTAACATAGACTTAAGGTACAACAACACCCTGGCAGGTATACCCACAGTGCCCTAAGTATTACATAGTCACCCAGGTACCCACAGTACCCTAAGTATTAAATAGTCACCCTGGTACCCACAGTGCCCTAAGTATTAAATAGTCACCCTGGTACCCACAGTGCCCTTACTATTAAATAGTCACCCTGGTACCCACAGTGTCCTTACTATTAAATAGTCACCCTGGTACCCACAGTGTCCTTACTATTGAATAGTCAGCCTGGTACCCACAGTGTCCTTACTATTAAATAGTCAGCCTGGTACCCACAGTGTCCTTACTATTAAATAGTCACCCTGGTCAGTGTCCTTACTATTAAATAGTCAGTGTGGGTACCCACAGTGTCCTTACTATTAAATAGTGACCCTGGTACCCACAGTGTCCTTACTATTAAATAGTCAGACACAGCGTCCTTACTATTAAATAGTCAGTGTGGGTACCCACAGTGTCCTTACTATTAAATAGTCACCCTGGTACCCACAGTGCCCTTACTATTAAATAGTCACCCTGGTACCCACAGTGTCCTTACTATTAAATAGTCACCCTGGTACCCACAGTGTCCTTACTATTAAATAGTCAGCCACAGTGCCCTTACTATTAAATAGTCACACTAGTACCCACTGTGCCCTTACTATTAAATAGTCACCCTGGTACCCACAGTGCCCTTACTATTAAATAGTCACACTGGTACCCACAGGGCCCTTACTATTAATTAGTCACCCTGGTACCCACAGTGTCCTTACTATTAAATAGTCAGCCACAGTGCCCTTACTATTAAATAGTCACCCTGGTACCCACAGTGTCCTTACTATTAAATAGTGACCCTGGTACCCACAGTGTCCTTACTATTAAATAGTCAGCCACAGTGTGCCCCTTACTATTAAATAGTCACCCTGGTACCCACAGTGCCCTTACTATTAAATAGTCACACTGGTACCCACAGGGCCCTTACTATTAATTAGTCACCCTGGTACCCACAGTGTCCTTACTATTAAATAGTCAGCCACAGTGCCCTTACTATTAAATAGTCACCCTGGTACCCACAGTGTCCTTACTATTAAATAGTCAGACACAGTGTCCTTACTATTAAATAGTCAGTGTGGGTACCCACAGTGTCCTTACTATTAAATAGTCACCCTGGTACCCACAGTGCCCTTACTATTAAATAGTCACCCTGGTACCCACAGTGTCCTTACTATTAAATAGTCACCCTGGTACCCACAGTGTCCTTACTATTAAATAGTCAGCCACAGTGCCCTTACTATTAAATAGTCACACTGGTACCCACTGTGCCCTTACTATTAAATAGTCACACTGGTACCCACTGTGCCCTTACTATTAAATAGTCACACTGGTACCCACAGTGCCCTTACTATTAAATAGTCACACTGGTACCCACTGTGCCCTTACTATTAAATAGTCACACTGGTACCCACAGTGCCCTTACTATTAAATAGTCACACTGGTACCCACTGTGCCCTTACTATTAAATAGTCACACTGGTACCCACTGTGCCCTTACTATTAATTAGTCACCCTGGGACCCACACGGCCCCTGGTATTAAAATTGTCATGTTGGGCCCCACGGCCCTCATCCATGAACAGTCATGAGTACAGCCTTCTATGTAATAGCAGCAAAATGGTCTGGGAGTCAAGGAAAACACAGTACACATGGCACCAATGGACAAGACCAGTGGAATCAAAAGTTTCCATAAAGTCTGAACAAAAGCTGACAACATACCCGCTATCTGGAACCTAAAATATAACTATCAAATGCCCCGGAATCTGTCCCCAGTCTTCTTGTTTGAAAATAACATTAATCTGAGAAGCGATTAGCGTCCTGTAGGAGCATTAATCCAGCGCCTCAGAGCATTTACAGGAATTGATGAAAACCAGGGCTGATTATACCAGCTCTCTGACATGTATTGACATCCATCGTTATCATCTGGCAACACTGATCAAATCACTGCATGTTTACTGTGTCAATTATATATAACGCTGGAGCGAATGTCATCATTCTCTAATAGGGTCGGATGTGTTGGATCAGCGGCACAGCTTGTGTTTATTGCCAAGTGACAGGGCCTCCCGTTTTGTCTTACACAATTGTGACAGCGCACGCTCGCATGGTGTTGTCGGAGCGTTGATAGTCGTCAATTCGGCACCGGTACGCGCATTTTAAACACGCTTCGAGCGTCGTGATAAATGAGGTATAAAACGCTATGAACAGTCTGCAACACGGGTAAACAAATTACGTCCTCACTTCGACACATCACTGAGAAACGCCAACACGCTGAACACTTCCCCCAGCCATCCAGCTTTACTAGAACAATAACTTGACATTCGCCGGCTCGGCTCCTCGTGAATGAAAGCCGATGCCTCCACCGAGGAACATGTATTACAAAAGACACCGATGTCGTCTGGAAGTAAAAAGTAATACGCGGTATAGACGGACACTCACCTCACGGTTAGGACCACATGTCGCACCCACAGAACGCTGTCACGTCAGGGACCCCTGGGGTAGAGAATTGCACCCACAGACACTATATTCCCTCGCTGTTGACAGTCAGCGAGCAGTCTTGTCTCAAGCTGCTATCTTACCTCTTAGAAGAATTCTGGACTGGCCACAAGCCGTGTTCTAGCCAATCGATGAGTCTTGATTGTCGATGCGGAAGATCTCATTTTCTCTGGAGGGGTCAAATATTGATGTCTCAATGGCAGTTGAGATGGAATGGTTAACGTTCCCAAGGGACGTGGTTCGTTCCGGTCGTTTGTCGCGAAAGAGGGGTTCAAAGAACAATTTTCGGAAGCTAAACCTTTCATAGACTTGTGTTTACATAACTATTAGAGATGGATCGATAGAAATCATTTAAGCCGCTGTCCAAAGTACCCAGGTTAGGAAGTCTCAAGGCAGTCGCGACTATGGCTGGTCCATATCACATATAGAAATGGTCGATAGTCTTAAGCAGATAAAATCGACATCGTGAAGAAGACAGGCTCCATTTTTTGGTCATTTACGATCCCAACACAAATCGCAATACAGATTTATCAAACGGACAAGATGAACTTTCTTACGATTGGTTGCCATGGCGGAACTCGCCCGCCAGCGCAGGTTGTATCAGATCGCCTGTCATTACCGTTTACAGAGCCCATATTTAGAGGACATCCCATCCTTTCGCAATTTGTTTTATTTGGCCAATAAGATATGAATATTCTTTTCCCTCAGAATTCTGCAGACATTATTTTGCTGAGATGAGATACAGGGTATAAGGACTAGCTAATGAACGCTTCTGATCCGTGTTGCAAGATCCACGAGGAAGGTTCTCTACTCAAATAAACCTTATGATTAGCGTAACTCTCTTAAAGCCACGATCACTTCTCAAGTAAAGAGATTTAACCCGAGTAGAATTTAATATCATTTCATGTATGATTAATGAGCGGAAAATACCATCGTATAAAACTTGCTGCCCAACGCTTTGAATTTATCGTATTTCCCAGATAAAGCTTGATTGTTGTAATGCCATTGTCCCCCCTTGCGGGATTGTGAGTGTAAAATTATTCAGAACCCATGTACGTTAAAATGTGATAAACTGCTGATATTTGTCTCGTATATCCGGGTCGATCATGAAATATGCTGAATTGTTCGAGGCTATCTAATATTTCAAATACAACAAGGTCGGTCTCGAATGCAATTCCTTTGTAGCTCATAGATAACCTAACTGCCATCATGTTATCGTTTTATTTGATGAAAATTTACAAACATGATAATTGGGCTCACTTTACCCTAAATCTTTTGAAAAAGTGACGTGGCTCGCAGTGGGAGCGTTCCCTTTATCTGCGCCATTTGGGAGCTTCACAGAAAACACGAGGATTGCCTGACCCCGTGACATTATTACCGCGGGGGTCCCTCTCTATCGACGTCCGTAAAAGTCGTGTGTAATTCGGGCTTTGGAGTCCAAAAACAATTATTGACGATGCATTAATTATTATCCGCCAGTGAGGGAGGAGAAGAAATTAGCAGAATGTGTGTACAATTACATTACATGTCCCTGTATGTAGCTAGTGTGTGGTGATGTCTCGTGTCTCTGCCTCTGCGCTTCTACCACTCCCGGGCAGGCTATAAGCGCTATATTCATCCCCGCACTCAAGGGTATATGATTTACACATAAAGGGATGCATCACTAAGAGATGGCCTGTAATGACCCCACTTCTGGCTAGGTTTCATACTCCATTTTCCTATATATCCTTTTCACAGCCTACGATCTGAAAATATAAAAGTACTGCCTAGCGTGCCTCTTTAAAACATATATAGTGAGTGAGTGAGTTTAGTATATCGCCGCTTTTAGCAATATTCCAGCAATATCATGGCGGGGGACACCAGAAATGGACTTCACACATTGTGCCCATGTGGGGAATCGAACCCGGGTCTTTGCCGTGACGAGCGGATGCCTTAACCACTAGGCTACCCCACCGTCCCTAAAACATATATAATGACATAGAAGTAACCTCTAGTCAGATTCCTTATCGGCCTCTGGTCTGGTTTGGCGAGTTAATGCGTGGTCTTTCAAGAGTTATCTCCCATCCAATATCGATCTACCATGCAGTTGTTTTTACCGATATTTGATCACTAACACAGCGGGTTGAAAAAAGGCGCTTCTTCAACTTTTTATGTGTAAATGGCTTGGTGTTGGATGACACACAATCACATGGGATTTTGTCGAGACATCACAACACTGAAACGTTCTTTTGGTTGGACTGGACTGTGCTGGCTGAAAACAGAACACCCAATACACATTTCAAACCCCGTCGACTTCGTTTTTGGTTTTTTTTATTTCATTTTTTTTGTCTCACCTACCATTACAGATAAGTCTCCAAGCCTTGGTCTATGGACGGCCCTTTCTGTACTTGATGCGGGACGGGCTCCGAACGTTGGTATATAACCTATGTACCCGAAGTCGTTGTTTGAGATCAGCTCCACTCCCGGAAATATCCTCCATATCTGAGCGGTGGTGTGATGGCACCCACCATATACCCGAGATACAACTCTGTGAAAGTGTTGTTTTACCATATACCCGAGATACAACTCTGTGAAAGTGTTGTTTTACCATATACCCGAGATACAACTCTGTGAAAGTGTTGTTTTACCATATACCCGAGATACAACTCTGTGAAAGTGTTGTTTTACCATATACCCGAGATACAACTCTGTGAAAGTGTTGTTTTACCATATACCCGAGATACAAGATACAACTCTGTGAAAGTGTTGTTTTACCATATACCCGAGATACAACTCTGTGAAAGTGTTGTTTTACCATATACCCGAGATACAACTCTGTGAAAGTGTTGTTTTACCTAGCCTTCCTGGCTAGCACTAGTGTTACAATCCCGACTGCCTTCCTGGCCAGCACTAGTGTTACAATCCCGACTGCCTTCCTGGCCAGCACTAGTGTTACAATCCCGACTGCCTTCCTGGCCAGCACTAGTGTTACAATCCCGACTGCCTTCCTGGCTAGCACTAGTGTTACAATCCCGACTGCCTTCCTGGCTAGCACTAGTGTTACAATCCCGACTGCCTTCCTGGCCAGCACTAGTGTTACAATCCCGACTGCCTTCCTGGCCAGCACTAGTGTTACAATCCCGACTGACTGCCTGCCAGCTGTTTAGCGCCGTATCATATCGTGATGGAGGGATGTATACCCTGAAGATGAGTGGCGGTAGGCTAACCTAATGGCGTATCTGTTTGCCTGTCACGTTTAAGGCCCGGGTTTGATTCCCGACTTGGGTTAATGGAGCCCATTCTAGGAGTCCCACGTCGTTTTATAACTGCAATAGTAATGTAAGCCACATAAAGCCCCACAGACTCACTCTAACTGAAATGAATTCTCAACTGCCAGTGTTGTGGGGTGTCTTTTATTCTAATTTATTGTCTATCGATTGATTATTTAGATATGGTAATTCCACGACAGTACATATATTTTATTATGTGTTGTATTTTAGATAATGGACGGTTTTATGATCCGTTAGGCGACACTCGAACTATATACACAGTAAAGTAGATGCATACAAACCGCAATAGCACTGCAGCAGCTACGGGCAGAGCTGTGTCGTCCACGGTAAATACAGTCACGCTGCCGGGAGACACCAAGTATACACCATGTTTGATGGTGGTTCAAAAGGAAGCACATATTAAACAGTAATTCTATCATGAAGTATTTCATAGGGCGTCACAGTTGTGTTCTGGACCTCAGGTTTTCGCGACTGTATCATCGCAAGAGAATAAAAAATATTACCTAGCAACAAAAAGTGGGCGTTACGTTACATTTCCAAGGAGCTCATTGTTCCATAAACGAGAACATTTTACAGGAAACTGTTGTTAAGCTTTCTTAATAGAAAAATCCCAGGGACTGTCTTCATGTCCAGGAGACACAGCAGTGTAGACTTGTCAGTTGTTAAATGGACTTGCACGGGTTACAATGGACTTGCACGGGTTACAATGAACTTGTACGGGTTACAATTGACTTGCAGGGGTTACAGTTGACTTGCACGGGTTACAATGGACTTGCACGGGTTACAATGGACTTGCACGGTTTACAGTTGACTTGCACGGGTTACAGTGGACTTGCAAGAGTTACAATGGACTTGTAAGGGTTATAATGGACTTGCACGGGTTACAGTTGACTTGCACGGGTTATAATGGACTTGCACGGGTTATAATGGACTTGCACGGGTTACAGTTGACTTGCATGGGTTACAATGGACTTGCACGGGTTACAGTTGATTTGAAAGGGTTACAATGGACTTGCACGGGTTACAGTTGACTCGCACAGGTTACAGTTGACTTGCAGGGGTAACAGTTGACTTGCACGGGTTACAGTTGACTTGCACGGGTGACAATGGACTTGCACGGGTTACAATGGACTTGCACGGGTTACAGTTGACTTGCACGGGTAACAATGGACTTGCAAGGGTTACAATGGACTTGCACGGGTTACAGTTGACTTGCACGGGTTATAAAGGACTTGCAAGGGTTATAATGGACTTGCACGGGTTACAGTTGACTTGCACGGGTTATAATGGACTTGCAAGGGTTACAATGGACTTGCACGGGTTACAGTTGACTTGCACGTGTTACAGTTGACTTGCACGAGTTACAATGGACTTGCACGGGTAACAGTTGACTTGCACGGGTTACAGTTGACTTGCACGGGTTATAATGGACTTGTAAGGGTTATAATGGACTTGCACGGGTTACAGTTGACTTGCACGGGTAACAATGGACTTGCACGGGTTACAGTTGACTTGCATGGATTACAATGGACTTGCAAGGGTAACTGTTGATTTGAAAGGGTTATAATGGACTTGCACGGGTTACAGTTGACTCGCACAGGTTACAGTTGACTTGCACGGGTGACAATGGACTTGCACGGGTTACAGTTGACTTGCACGGGTTATAATGGACTTGCAAGGGTTATAATGCATGTATACAACCCCTCGAAAGTTTAGACTCACTAGTGTAAATGTAGCCACTCACTTCAACTGTTCTAAACTAGATTTTGCAAAATATTCCATACTGTTT